GGAAGATATCATGCAAAGTGAGACAAATACTGCATGACTCACTTTTATGTGAAATCTCAGAAAGCTGAATTGGGAAAGTGGAGAATAAAATGTTGGCTACCAGGGCAGGGAAAGAGGGATGTGTTGGCTAACATGTGCAAAACTTAATTGTGTAGGATAAATACATTTAGATGATCTAATGTATGGCAGTGACTCTAGCTAACAATACTGTATTCTATACTCATACTTGCTGACAGTAAAATCTAGTGTGTTCTCAACCTTGCACAGAAAGTAAACTCTATGACATGAGTTACTCTAGTTACTTTATTATTTCACAATGTATTTGTATTTGTATCTGAAAACATTTAATATAACCCATTAAATCCCAACTTTCAAATTTTGTAAATATAATAATATTCAAAAATTATTTCAAGGTTACTATAAGGAGTATATTTGTTGCTAAATTTAAGTTTTCATAGGGGTTAAACATCTGGAACAATGGAACAAAATGGGAAAAACATATAATTTTTATTTTAAAAAATTGAAAAAAATTGAACTTTAACATTAGTCTCAAACATATTAAAATAAAAAGGAAGAATATGAAGCAAACAAATGAAATAGATTCCTAGGCCTCAGAGAAGAGTTACTAAATAGAATCTTTGAGGCAATGGGCTAAAATTTGCATTTTACTTAGTCTCACTATATGATTTTAGGCACTCTAACATAACACATATAATTTGGTGTATGACCATGGATTTTAGTCTTCTTTAAACTCAGTCACACATGTGTAAAAAGTTAAAAAAAAAAAAAGGAAGAAAGATAATTAACTTGGTGTCGTACAGAGTAAATACCAAAGGCTGAAAGTAAATCTAGAATAATAGTACATTCATATTATTAGATCTCGAATGTCAAACTAAGGAATCTTTTCTTAACTGGGCAAATGGTACTGATTAATGTTTTTAAAGAACTAGTCTAAATACGTGATGACAAAATAACCAAAAAGGTACGATATGTAAGTTTGAACAAATTATATGATACTAATTGTCTCCAAAATGAATGAATGAAGATAAATAAACACTAATAATCAACATAGTTATTGACCAACATAGTCAAACAATAAGTTCATAAAGGCCAGGCATGGTAGGGCATACCTATAATCACAGCAGCTGGGGAGGCTGAGGCAGGAGGATCGAAAATTCAAAGCTAGCCTCAGCAACTTAATGAGGTCCTAAAGCAACTCAGGGGGACCCTGTCTCTAAATAAAATATAATAAAGAACTATGGATTTGGCTCACTGGTTAAGCACCACTGGGTTCAATCCCTGGTACAAAAACAAGTAATGTCATAGAAATCTTAAATTGCGAAATTGGGTTCAGAATTAATAGTGCAAAAATTTAACAGCATATAAGGAGCACGATGCAGATAAATAATTTTTCACAAAAGTGAGAGAGAACTTTATTACATTTGTACATAGAATATATGTAAATTTTTATTTATGTGGTTAATTAATTAATTTTTGTAGTAATGGGGATTGTACCCAGTGTCTTAAGCAGACTAGGCAAAAGTGCTCTACCACTAAGCTACACACCCAGCTAAATATCACTTGCCAAATGAAGAGACAGCCTTATTATTAAGTGGAAAGTTTAGATGTTTATTGTTTTAACCACAATCCATTTGTAGTTGACAGCCTGAAGACAGCTCTGGAAAAAAGCACTTAGTTGAAAAAGTATTTCCTTTTTCAAAATAATATCAGAAATGTTTATAATTTTTTTCCCTATAAACATTACAGAAAGCAGTGGAACACTACCTCTTTTGCTTCTCTAGAAATTCTTTTTTTTTTGCATATTTTTACTATATAGTTATACATAATAGCAGGAGTCATTTTGCCATATTCATACATGCATTATGTACAATCTGCTTCATTTCAGTCCCTAGTACCTCAACTTTCCCTCCCATCCTCCCTTCCTCTGGCCTCCTTCTTCTACTCTACTGCTCCTCCACCAATTTATTTATTTATTTTTAATTTGTGCTTCATTGTGATATATTCATACATGTACATAGTATAATTTGGTCAATTTCTTGCTGTAGTTTTTCCCCTGTCTTATTTCTCCTCCTCCCCCTCTATTCCTTTTCTCTACTCCACTGTTCTCCTTTGTAGTTTTATAGGATCCCCAACTTCTTTCCTTCTGTTTTTCTAGCTTCCACATATGAGAGAAAACATTTGTGCTCTGACTTATTGCACTAAGCATAATGTTCATTAGTTCCATCTATTTACAAGCAAATGACATAATTTCATTCTTCTTTATGGCCGAGTAAACTCCATTGTATATATGTACCACATTTTGCATATTTAGTCATCTGCTGATTGGCACCTGAACTGGTTCCCTACCTTGACTATTGTGAATTGTGCTGCAATATGCAATAACAACTGGAACTCAATATTGCAAGTATAATAGCAAAACAAAAGCAAAAACATTATGGAATTCCATTCAAGAAATTCAAAACAAAAGAATTTCTTATCATAGGATTTCCTGAATACTTAAGCAAATAGTTATTGGGAATTGTGAAGAGTATAAAAATGACCATAATTATTTTCAACATCTCTCAAAACAATACAGAATCTTTATATTTTTCACCTCTCGTACAATATATACCTGAGAAAACCAAACTGAAAATGTAAAGAAAAAATAATTGTATTCCTTCTATTTTCAAGGAGAAAATTTGTCTATTATTTACTTTTACTGGTTGATAAGACTTAAGGGCAAAGTTCTCAATGGCACTATGAGAAAAGGCAAGCTTGAATCAATTTTATTGGTCTGGGAGCATGATGAAATATTGATTCCAAATTAGATCTCAACTGATTTTCCTAGTCTTTCCATTCCTCAAAAGTCTTATGTATCTTGAGCACATTTTTTTTTATTACCACATTAGGCTGGAATTAGTTATGGTGAATTAGAGGGAGCCATTAGCTTAATTTTATCTCAACATTAAGCTTTAGCAAATTACTATCCCTCTGTTTGGGATGTTCTTACGTCTGCTTAGATTCTTCAAGAAGCAGATGGTAATATAGGATAACATATACAAAACATTTGTGGGGAGGATGAAAATGTTTGGGCATGATAACAGGAAAGGGGCAGGTATAGGCAAGGTAGATCTTTAGACTGCTGAGCAGGTCTGACCTCTGTGAAAGAAGAGGATGTAGAAAGAATCAGATTGGAAGCAACTCAAAAATAAAAGTATGGTTCTAAGTTTGGTCTAGAACAAAGGAGAATCTTCAAGCAAATTTTACGTAAGAAAATATTTGTGGGAGGTCAGAATGCACTGGCTTTCTGACCTTTTAGTGGTCTTCCAAGTTCGTCTTTGGTAAGAATAATCCAGGGAAGCACAGCCTTGGCCAAACACTGATGGTGCACCTTTCATTCATTTTTGCTCCCCATAATAATCTCTCTGGACCAGATGTGAGGGGCACATCTACATTATTGTCAGAGGACACTGTGTGCCCCACCCAATCCACTTCTTAAGGCAGGTTTAGCGAACAGCTCCTTTTTGGGTCAGCTTGTTTGTTGCTGTGACCAAAAGACCTGACCACAACAATTTTAGAGGAGGAAAAGCTTATTTGGTGCTCACATTTTCAGAGATCTCAGTCCACAGAGAGCTGGCTTCATTCCTTGGGGTTCAAGGTGAGCAGAACATCAGGGTGGAAGTGTGTGATGGGAGAAAGCGGCTGGGAACATAGAACCAGGAAGCAGAGAGGGGGAGCTCCTGTCAAGAAGGACAAGATATATACTCCAATGGCACACCTGCAGTGAACTTACCTCCTCCAGCCACACCCTACCACCAGTTGATCTCTATCAGGGGATTAATACACTGGTTAAGTTAAGGGTCTTGTGACCAAATCATTTCACCTCTCACTCTTCTTATATTGTCTCACATGTGAGCTTTTGGAGGACACCTCATATCTAAACCATAACAGCTCCTTATGGTTCCATGTGTAAAACTTCAACAGGGAGGTTAGTGGTGATATGGTGTCTTTTATTGCTACAGGTGGTTTTCAGTCCACAAGTGGTATTCATCTACTCCTTCTTCCACTCCTTTCTAAATTACCCTCATCTTTGCAATCAACTCAGTACCTAAAAGCATTCTAAGAAGTAAGCCCTTCTGGGTCTGGATTGGCCGCACGTTTCCAACAGTGACAGTTGATCAAAGAATATGCCAGGAAGCATCCAAGTGAATCAGATGGGTTTCATACATATTTCTGCACACCATTAGAGTTTTTCAATCAGTTACTTTTGTCAAGATCTTGATTCCTCTCTAGTCTGTTGGTCCCAGCACAGGGAAGCCAAATTCTTTGATCGTAGCTATAACTTTTAGTTTCATATCTTGCATCTTTTGGCAACAACATGGCTTTTATGAGGGCTAGGAATCTCAAATTTGTATAGTCAGAGTATTGAGAACAGGTTGCTAAATCTCCCTCGATAGACTATTGGAGCCAGTAGTAAATGGGGTCATAGTTGCTGTCACCATCAGCTTTTGGACCTATGCTTTCTTCCTATAAGGAAAATAATATTTGATTAAATGTATATGCTGTATCAAGAAAGAAATTAACTCACGCATTCACAGTATTGTCTCTAAAATAACACTTTAGTTCTGTTCTCTATAGGTTTTTCTCATAATATCTGATGCAGGATGCTTCTGGGTACTGCAATATGTGGTATGATGAATGAATTTTGTGGACATGGGCCCCATGACAACACCTTCTTCACTACAAAATGGACCTTCTGATCAGATGCTATGCTATTCAGCATTCTATACCTGTGGATCAAATATTCACTAAGTTCCTGGACAATGGTACTGGTTGAGATGCTATTGGCAGGGGAAAAAACCCAACACTCAGGACAGGCATTATCTCAGGGAAGATAAACTACTGGCCCTTTCAGAATTGAATGAGCTCAATGTAGTCCACTTGCTAACAAGTACAGTTTGGTTTCCTTGCAGAATAATGTCATGTAAGTGGTTTAAGATTGGTCTCTGTTGCTGAGAGGCTGGACCCACAGAGATAACCAAAGATAGATGTGCTTTGATAAGAAGGAGTCAAATCTGATAGACCTCTGTCTATAGCAGTTATGACCAATATAGCCTCTAACATTATAATTTTGACCACTCCATTTGCATACTACCATCAAAGGGCCAACCAATCAGTCTACATTCAGTCTTCCTTTTATGCAGCTGAAGATTTCTAGCCTGTTAACTTATAATAGAAATATCTTAGCATTTCATGCTTTCTACTGAAGTAAGCCTATCTCTAAAATGCTAGACCAGATATCTTTGTTGAACTTCAAATATTCCTTTTCCAGAGCTCTCATCAAAAAAAAAGTAGGTTGTTTTCACTGTTCATGAATTTATATATTCTTATTTCAAAGTCAAGTTTACTTCCATACAAAGTAATTGATTAGATTCCTCCCATCCCACAATCAGGAAGACATTTCCTTCCCATTTACTTTTATTATCAAGTCTGGATGTGGACCTAGTTCAGTGACTATCAGTTTTAAGAATTACACCTACATACTGAACTGACTTCTATACAAATCAGGTTCTGGCATTTTCTTATTCCCTCAGATGCTCATATAAAACCCCTGTAGAACCAGAAACATGATCTGAGGGGGTCATGCTAATACAACAGGAACATAGTTCTGGGTTGAGAACTCATTCATGTAGCTTCTTAATGTCCCATGATTCTTCTTGGACCAAATGCTCTATCTGCTATTTCCATCTTACCATGAAGTGCTGCTGGGCTCATCTGAATTTATGATCTGAAAGTTCTGACACTTCATTTTACCAGGACCTAGTATCACATCAGGAGCTGCTTATCAAAAAGAAAATTCTCCATCACCTGTGGCATGGACATACTCCAAAATTCAAGAGCTTTTATTTGGATTCGTACACCATGGCCTGCCACATATTCCACACTGCTATTGTTGCAGGCCTGATACTTCCTATTCTATACAGGATCTGCCAGATTTTGTGCTTCAGATGGCAGAGCTGCTTCCACAGTAGCCTGGACCTGCTTTGGACTCTATTTAAAAACTGGCATATTTTCGCTTGTCCCCATACATTGGCCAAATCAATATATTCATAAATCTAAAACATGTTGAGTGTAGAAATAAATCCTACCAACATGGTACTTTCTTCTCTGTGGCAGGGGATAACATTTATCATTCTTGGAACAAATATCCTGGCTTGCCCTGACCACAGGAACAATAAAGCCCTTCACTTATCAGGCATGTTTCTGAATCTTCCTAGAGGATATCTGGCATTCTGTGAAGTGCATGTGTTTAACCTCATCTATGAAGTACTAACTACTTCTTACTGCCATTATGTTCTGCCAGATCAGGGTGATATCACTACTGTAGTGGATCAATGTAAGGTCCCCAGGGAAGGTCTGGCAGTGCAGGTATCTTTAGACTATATTATGACAAAGTTATAAGAAAATAACTAGCTCTGGGGAAGAACTACAAATGAAAATCATTGCTCTATTCTACATGAATGCAATCTGCAGATGATTTTCTTTTCTAATTATAACAGAAAATAAATCCTTTTCCATATCAATGACTCCATAATATGCTCACCGTCCTTATTAATCTGTTCTTACAATGATTTCATGACTGGCACATCATCTGTAGTATGGTTTACTCACTTGACCTTGGAAACACTGCTTAGCTGCAAACTTTTCATTTAAAAAAAAAGAAGGATAACTGAGAGTAGATTTAAGAGCCCAGAGAGGGAGCTGACAACCACTGCTATGAAAATAACAAGACATTTATGATTGTAGATTCCTGAGCAAGTTAATATGCAAAACATATACTAGACCTACTTAAAAGTCAGTATATATTAATGTGTTGATGGGAGGGGGAGATTGAAGGACAGAGAGAGAGAGAGACATAGAGATTTTATGTATTTATGTATAGGTCTTCAGGAAAGAAAGAGAATTCAACTAGGATCAAAGAGGGATCTGAAAAGGATAGTGGCAAAAAAAAACCAGGAACCAATCTAGTGGATACTCTATGAGCTGTTAACCAGGCCAGAACCTAAGAATTTATGTTACATATACTTTGTTAATACTTAGTATCATCTCATTAATTCTAAATACTTCATTATCAGTATAATAGATAAAACCCCCTGAAAACTACAATTCTCCTAATTTCTTACAGCAGGTTTCCAGATAGAGTCACACTATTAAAGGGAGACCCTAGTGCATGAAGGTGTGGAGGTGAGTCTTCCTACATCTTAAGAGATCTCACCTGAGTTCAATAGGTGAGGTTTCAGTCCTTCCAACGTGTGCGAAAGCTTCTGGTTTCCTGTACTATGTTTCTTTGAGCTTAAAATATTTACACTGGTTGTTTTCCTAACTAGTTCATAACTGGTATGGTGTTTGGTTAAGAAATAAGGCCCTAGAAATGTCAATATAGAAATCTTAGATTATTTATTTAATTGGATTATGTTCAAACCATTAGAAATGTTACCAAAAGATAACAGGTTACTGGCAGTTTGTGACATGTAGCTTCTTATTTAACTTATTATGTTTCCAGGCAGCACTCTGAGAGACAAAGTTTGCTTTGTGATGTAATACTATGGGAAAAACAACGAATACAAGTAGAGATTGGATACCTGTACTTTCTGATCCAATGAGCATATGGAAAGAAAATGACAAAATCAAGATTTGTAATTCACAAATAAGATAGGACAATTTTTTTTCTTTTTCTTTTGTTTGCTTGTTTGTTTCTTTTTCTTTTCTTTTCTTTCTTTCTTTTTTTTTAACTGCCTTTGTGGGAATTCTTCTCTAGTTTAACTATAGAATCAGTATTCTGAAAACCAGACTTAAAGTTTGATCATACACTTTGAAAATTTTCAGTAAGAGTTCAAAGCAGGGCTGGGGATGTGGCTCGAGCGGTAGCGCGCTGGCCTGGCATGCGTGCGGCCCAGGTTCGATCCTCAGCACCACATACCAACAAAGATGTTGTGTCCGCCGAAAACTAAAAAATAAATAATAAAAAATTCTCTCTCTCTCTGTCTCTCTCTGTCTCTGTCTCTCTCTTTCAAAAAAAAAAAAAAAAAAAGAGCTCAAAGCACCTCCAGTTCTCAATTAAAATCAGAAACTACTTCCAGGAAAAAAAAAAATGGGAATCTGACAACTGGATTGAGTATATTTGGGAAGATTATAAATATTTCAAATAAGTGAACTCTCAAAAGACACTGAATCCCTGCTATAGTCTGGATGTTTCTCCTATAAAACTCATTTAAGCATAAATCCCAACATAATCTTAGTGGTATTTATGGGTAAAGTCCTTGGGACATAATTAGGATAAGATGAGGTTATGAAAGTGGGAGCACTGTGACTGCATTAGTAACTTTATAAGGAGAGAAAGAGAGATGAGAGGAAACTTGATCTTTCTCACAGGGGACGTCTTCTGCTATGTCATGATCCAGCAAGACAGCCTCATCAGATGCTCAGTAGATGCTAGCACCATGCTGTAGAACTGTGAGCTAAATGAAACTTTATTTCAGTTTTTTTAAATAAATATCCCATTCAGCAACATAATATGGACTAAGATAGTCTTCTAGTCAACAAAAACAAACTTTTGTTCTCTATGAAGTTTAGTCTCTCATAAATACCCAATGGGACTTGCAAAAATTACTTTGGTGAAGGGTGATAAAACCTAGGTACTGTGTATAAGAATGAATTCTTCCCTGTTACAAAAGGTATAGTGCTGTATCAATGTGAATTTATGATGGTGGCTTAGATTAAATGAAGATACAAGGCTTTAAGAGAATTCACTGAAAATCTGGGAATGGAACCACCATTTGATCCAACTATTCCTCTCCTGGGACTCTACTCAAAGGACTTAAAAACAGCATATTACAGGGACACAGCCACATCAATGTTTAAATCAGCACAATTCACAATAGCTAAACTGTGGAGCCGACCTAGATATTCTTCAGTGGATGAATGGGTAAAAAAAAAAAAAAATGTGCCATATATACACAATGGAATTTTACTTGGCATTAAAAAAGAACAAAATCATGGCATTTGCAGGTAAATGGATGGCATTGTTGAATATAATGCTAAGTGAAGTTAGCCAATCCCCCCAAAAAACCAATGCCAAATATTCTCTCTGATATAAAGAGGTTGACTCATAGTTGGGTAGGGAGGAGAGCATGAGAGGAATAGATAAATTCTAGATAGGGAAGAGGGGTCGAAGGGAAAGGGAAGGGGCAGGAATTAGCAAGGATGGTGGAATGTGATGGACATCATTATACAAAGTACATGTATGAAGACTTGAATTGGGGGTCAACATTCTTTATATACAAAGATACAAAAAATTGTGGTATATATGTGTAATAAAATTGTAATGCAAAATAGTACAGTTATAAAGGCATTAAAAAAACCAGTTTCCCAACTGCTCTCCCCATTTCCATTAACCTTCTTACAAACTGCTCTTCTACTCCGAAACAGTGTTCCTCAAAATTCGGTGCTGGTCCATCTCACCCTTTGGATTGAAAAATTTTAAAGGTTTTCATTACTTTTACAATAAAACTAAATTCCTCAACATAGTTTACAAAGCCAGTGAGAATTATCTATCTTTCCACTCAACCTTAAATCTGAAGGATCCTCTCTTGCATTGTACATTTTATAAGTGCATCCAACATTGCATTTTTTAATTCCATAAGGACAGTGTAGGAATCAGTCACTGTATCCATGTGCTAGTAATAATCCTGGTATAAAGTAAGTTATCAATGATCATAGCTATTTAATGGATACATAAATGAATAACTTAGGTGGTAGCATGGATATCTCCGGCAGCAGTGGAAAGCAATGCCAACAATGAGGATTAGCCCTTTGGGTACTAGCAGGAAAGAGAGCTCCCTTGGCAGGAACATTGGTTACGGTCGTCAGCTTTTCTATGTGTATGGCTTCATTGGTAGCAAATTAAGCAACTACCAACATCATCAAGTGCGGCCAGAAGATAGCAGGCATCATTCTTTAACTAGAAGAACTTACTGGTGAGCAGAGCTGAGACACCACCTGCTCAGGTTTTGAGAAATGTTGAAAGGACTGGACCTCTAAGGATAGAGCTCAAAGAAATATGTTTTCTCATTACCACTTGCCAAGGTTTTAGGAGTGGTCATATCAAATTATCTAGCAAAAGACATCTTTCTGATCATAGAACATTGGAAGAAGAGTACAGCAGTTCAAAAAATGAACAACAAAAAGTCAATGGGTTTTAAAGGTTGCAGCCAGTGTTGATCCATGATATCTTAGCATAAGGCCTGTTCTTTTAATTGTTGAGATACAGTCTCATCTAATTGCATTTCTTCTAATGCTAGAAGCACAACATGTTCACCATTTCAAAACATTGTTTAAATGTATCTAAACCCTCTTCATAAACCAAATTCTAGGAGATTACTAAATCTTTTAAATATATATATATATATATATGAATTTACTGACTCTTAGAAAGGTAGGAAGTTGAGAGCCTTTCACATGAGATAGAGTCAACCCCACACTAACAATGTGTTTTATCGTTTTTGCTGCTGAGACTAAAAGACCTGATGAGAATAATTTTAAAGAAGAAAATTTTACTTAAGGGCTCATGGTTTCATAGGTCTTAGTCCATAGAAGTCTGGCTCTATTCCAGGGGGTTGGGGGTGAGGCCAAACATCATGGCAGAATAATGTGGCAGAGGGAAGAAGTGCACATGCTGAACAGGAAGCAGAGAAAGAGAGACACCACTCTCTTGATACAAAATATATACTTCATAGCCACATCCCAATGATCCACTTCCTCCAGCCACATCCCACCTACCTCCAGTTACCACTCAGTTAATCCCACCAGGGATTAATTTATTGACTAGGTTAAGGCTATAACCCAATCATTCCTCCTCCAAACCTTCTTGCTTGTCTCACACATTAGTTTTTGGGGGTTACCACATCTAAATCATAACACAATGGAAACTTGAGTACCCGTAAGCTATTCCTTTATCAAGCATTAAAATGTATATTGGGAAAAAGTGTTGTAACATATGTAGTAAATTTTCTAATGGCCATATGATAAAAGTCAAGATTATGGTGGAGGTGTCAACATTAAAATTATAGTTCAGTGGTAGATTGCTTGCCTAGCATGTTTGAGGCCCTGAGTTGGATCCCCAGCACCACAAAGAAAATAAATAAAAAAAAATAGTTCCACATGTTTCATGGCTGGTGGTGATCAGAGGTGATAAGGGATGAGATCCTGTAGTCACAAATAGGCAGCAGAGGAAATTATGACAGTGGTATGATCTTTTGCCATAACTGCCAATGGACTGTATAGTAAAACATTGCCAATCTATAAAACTTTTAAAAATAAAATAAAATCTAGATCAGGTGGAAGATATCTAACATGTATCATAATGGAGAATAAAAATCCCAGTCTTGAGCCTATTTATATACACAGTATCTTGAGTAATATGAAAGTTGAATCCTCTTTAAGAAGGATCCTGCAACACAGCCAAAATGTATGTGCCTTTTTCCTCCTCAACTTTCCTGAAGTAATCTGTAGTATTTAACATGACAACTGGGCTGGGGTAAAACCTCTGATGAAGTAGGATGTCTGGCCACAGATGTGAATTTAAAATAATCCCTGGGTACTTCATACACCTTAATGAATTAGTCAGAGAGCTAACATATGAAGCTCCAGTGACTGATGGAGTTTTGGGATGAATCAATTTCATAATGGGTCCTGATGGTCGATCAACATAGCCTCTGATTTTCTCCCAGTTCTAGAGTTAAACATTGCCTTTCTCAGCAACTGGATGACTGAATCACTGGCTCTCAGACACAGAGAATAAGGCCATGATGCCGGATGACAGACTGGAAGCCACTGGACTTGCCACTGCATGGCAAAATGGCAAACTAAATGAAAATATGGTACCTGTGGGGTAATTGTTGATACTAGTGCAACCATGGTATAATTGCAAAATGCTAGTCCTAAAAATGAATTTTAAATAGTGAAAGAAAAAAAAGGCATATTGCATACAAAGCAATGCCAATCAAATCTATATCAACTTCTCATTAGCGATAAACCAATATCAGTGCAATAATACCTTAAACATGTGAAATGAAAATACATGTCTATTTAGAATAAATATGGGGCTAAACATTCAGGTATTAAAGAAAAATATAGAGTTTTAAAGAAAAAAGAGCAAATAATTTATTAACAAAAGATACCTCTAAAAAATAGCTTTGGGGCAAAAATTTAAAAAGACCTAAAGAAAGGTATAGATTCAGAAGGAAATCATTCTATGAAGGGCAAATCTGCAAACTCTGTTAATAATGGAGACAGGAACCATATCTCTTAGAATTCCTAAAACTACTTTCTTCTAATGTGAATAATTGGTGTGAAATGAGCATATAAAAATGCGAAAAGAGTCAGTCCCTCTTATCCAATAGGATATTCAACACACAGGAGGCTGTTTT